AATTATCTGAGTATCTAAGGACAGAATTCAAAGCACTAATCACTGGGGATCTTCTACGGATTAGTGAAAACAGTGTTACAGCAGATTGTCTCTTACAGGGTGTCTTATAGAAGACACCGTCGTATTACTAAGGCTTTTTAGAGACGCCAATAATGTTTTGTTTCAGTGGCACGCATGTTCATTGGAATGAATTGTTTGATCGTATGAACTCTACAACGCACCTAGTTTTGATTGGTTTTAACGCACGTTTGTCCGCCCACCCTAATCGGTTTGTCATGAACCGGCGCCCAACTTTTACCAGCACAATTAATTCCTTCCTCGATTTCATTATGCAGATTCAACGCTACAAAACTGAGCTCAAGTAAGACTAGACTTGTCCAGTCCTATATTTAGTCAGGTAATGAAGGATTAAAGTAATATCTAATTATTATGCTTAATATCTCCTGCTCGGCTTATGCAACTTTATTTAATCATTTTTATTCTGACTTTTGAGTGAGCTGTGTATAAAACTCTAAACTTGACCTCTGAAACAATTGACATATAGTTTTTGATCAATAGTAATGTAGAATTATGACTTGGATGGATGACTTGAAAGTTTGTTAGATTTGATCACGTCTTAAATCTTATGTTGCATGACCTACAATTTCTGTTCTTGACAAGCCGGCACCTGCTCGTGTTGTGCCGTGCGCTCGCTCTCACGTATGTCGGCCTCAGCAAAATTTTATCACAAATTTGTCATTTCCTGCTTATGTCAAATGTAGAATTTCTCAAAAATCATTGACATGTCGTCGGCTGCTTCCTGTTTCTGTTCTGTGTGATACGTGTTTACTGCAGTAAGGGATATACAAGCAGAAGTTTTGGTTTCCTTTCGCAAATATCCGTGACTGTTTCATGCATAAATAATTGTACGACATTTCTCACACTGACATAACATGCCTGAAGTAATTTTTCTACCGCTATTTTGAATACCACGCATGTGAGCATCTCGCAAAGTTTCGATTATTGCGCTCGAAATCTAAATAATCGAGGGTGGGCTCGTGTCAGACATGAATTAGCCGTCGGATGCCGATGTACGTCCACGCCCAGACAGTGCGAACTACTGGTACATTATTTGCGGCGTGCCACTCTGCTGTTGAGTAAGTTAGAGGCAACTTCTTAGCCACTCCTCATCTCTGGCTGAAGAAGACAAGAAAATCATCTAGCTTCTTATCATTTTTAAACTTGCACTAGGAGACAAAGTAAAACCAAGACACCAAAATGGTAAGTACAAAGGACGTTTTTTGTTCTTCTCACTATTTATCTCTCTGTCTCTTCGCATGAAAGCGAGCCTGTGTATTAAAAACGCTGAAGTCAACTCAAGCTTAGCAACTTCTGGCAACTCGATGTAAGAGACAACTTTCAAAAAGTCGCCTTTCTTTTACAGCATACTAGTGCAATAGTAGCAGCGAGTAAAGGCAATCTAGCAATGCATCAATTTGCTAAAGTGGTCTTATGATCACGAGTCACTGCCTGCTTGGAACGATCCCTAATGTCTATGCTCTAAATAAAACAATATGGCCAGGTTCGGTCAGCGTCCATTTGTCAACCACTGGGCGATTTTACATGGTATCCAGGATACATTATATGCACAGGTTACCAAGTAAAAACGACCGCCGGTTTGCAAATGGTTGCAAATCGAACTTGGTCATTTCTGCTTAGATGGCAAGTCGTTCGGTGTGATAAAGTATAAAATGTAATGCTGTATTTGCTTGTGACACCTGTTTCAATTCATTGTTAAACATATAGTAAGTGACGCCTTGCGGAAGCGGCTTATAACCTGCACAAGAAAAATACTCCATCATACGCTTTACAGTGATGACGAGCGTATACACACGAGACTCCACGGAATATAGAACGGTCCCTACCACAGTAGCATGCCATCCAAAACCCATACATACCCATAAACAAAACTTACCTCTTTGATTTAAACTGCACAGCAAACATGCAACACGAATTTTCAACTGCAACATGGGAACTTTAAAAAGTGGGGCCCGGTTTTTCTAAAGAAAGATTAGACAAGTTATAGCATGGCCCTAAAATTTCTGAACTAGCACAGCGGTATAACAGTTTTCCCTCTTGGAAGAACAATGGATTTATCCTTATTCACTGAAAAATGTACTAAATGTTGTCTGAATATTTATTTTATCTTGTCCGAATGATGATTTGTACCTAACAGATATTCTTCTTTATTCAATGTAAACTTCATGCATTGTTTCCTTAATTACATTTGTGTCCGACAGAGCTGTAAGTGCACGTCTATCAGCATAAAAAGACAGAAATGTGGCAATTTAAATGCCGCGGAACGAAACGATAAAACAAAACTTGCTGGTGTTGCTTAAACACGCACATATCCTGTAACAACTTAAATGCCTCATGCTATTGTCGACAAACTGTGTTCTAACCACTATTTCCTGCACAAGATACGCCATCTGCTCGGCTGATTTCCGACTTTGGGTTCTCGATCTCAAACCTCCATTTTCCGTTTCCTCTTGATACTCTGAGGTCAAAGAAAAGGGAACTCCAATGCCAAATGTAGCTGCGGCTCATCAATGGAGACTGTGAAACCAAAAGTCGTTTTGTCAATAGAGAGTGCGACCTCTCGTGGTAGGGGGCGCTTTAATGTTCGGCAAGATTGAGGTAGCTGGAGTCCATACGAATTGAAGTTTAAAATGGAAAAAAGAAAATGGATACAACTGTAATTGGTATACAAAAAAAATAACTTCTCGACAGATAGTGTGGTTAGTCTAGCTCGGCTTAAAAGGCAGGTTGTATGATTCGTTCGCTGGTGGGGGGAGGGGTGGAGGTTGGCCGGCTGGTGAATTGACCAACCACCCCGCCCCAATTTTTGTCTGACAGATTGATGTAATACTAATCTTGAAGGTATTCTTCGGTAAGGTTGACGTTGACTGAGTTTGTTAGTTATTTAGTTTTGGGGCGACTGGGGTAATGAAGGGTTAGGTGGAAATGTTCTGGGAGTCCATTGCTTGAGTAAAACTTCGTGGAAAATAAAGAGTCTGGAAAGGGCATCACCAATCTAGGTAGTTACACATGTACGTCCTGCCGGTCTTCTGTTTTATTTCATACAGCGTGAAGTCATCTCAGTCCACATCGGCCAGGCCGGAGTCCAGATGGGCAATTCCTGCTGGGAGCTGTACTGCCTGGAGCATGGCATCCAACCTGATGGTCAGATGCCTAGTGACACGACAGTCGGCGGGGAATCGGACCCGTTCAACACCTTCTTCAGCGAAACCCAGGCAGGGAAGCACGTGCCACGCGCAGTCTTCATAGATCTGGAGCCCAGTGTTCTTGGTATGTATTAAATAACTTTGGAGGTTTCCTAGCCTCTATCGACACGAGCTGTAGAGGGCGATATTAAATCTTCTACATTTTCATTTCACAGACGAAATTAAAACGGGGCCTTATCGTCAGCTCTTTCATCCCGAGCAAATGATACATGGTAAAGAGGACGCCGCCAACAACTACGCCAGGGGTCATTACACCGTGGGCAAGGAACACATTGATGATGTTCTTGACCGCATTGGGAAACTGGTGAGTTACCGGTTCATGGCAGGTTGATAAAGTTACCTTAGAAAAAACGACTACTCATAGGACAATTTAATAAAAATAAGTAAGGTATACTTGCATTGCTTAGTGGATACGATGTTAACGCTACAGTCCAGAAATGATGTGTTTTATTTACCTTGTTCCTTCTGCTTGATACAGGCCGAAAGATGCTCTGGTCTCCAGGGTTTCCTCATCTTCCACAGCTTCGGTGGAGGCACCGGCTCTGGCTTTACCGCTCTTCTCATGGAGCGTCTCTCCGTCGATTACGGCAAGAAGTCCAAACTAGAGTTTGCCGTCTACCCGGCTCCCCAAATCTCAACGGCCGTCGTCGAACCCTACAACTCCATTTTGACAACCCATACCACCCTGGAGCACTCCGATTGCGCCTTCATGGTCGACAACGAGGCCATTTACGACATCTGTCGTCGTAACCTCGATGTTGAGCGCCCCAGCTACACCAACCTCAACCGTCTAATAGGTCAGATTGTGTCCTCCATTACTGCATCTCTTCGCTTTGACGGTGCCCTCAACGTCGACCTGACCGAGTTCCAGACCAACCTGGTACCCTACCCACGTATCCACTTCCCTTTGGTGACCTACTCTCCTATCATCTCTGCTGAGAAGGCTCACCACGAACAGATGTCTGTCTCTGATATCACTAACGCCTGCTTCGAGCCCGCCAATCAGATGGTAAAGTGCGATCCTCGTCACGGCAAGTACATGGCCTGTTGTCTGCTCTACCGTGGTGATGTCGTCCCCAAGGATGTCAACAGCGCTATTGCAAACATCAAGACCAAG